CCAACACGATCAATGAAAAGCCTACCGACATACTTCGGAGTACAGTGTCTCCGCTGAGCGATTCGGTCTCCCACTGAGCATGTATGTGTTTCCACATATTTTGTTACCCAAAACGTGTTTGTACCATGTTTCACACTCGCTCTTATCTTCTATCCACAACCACTAACCTGACATGTTGACACAAGGAGAGTTTTCGTTGACTTCTATATATTCTGAAGGAGAACTTACGCCTCACTGCTGTCAACCGCAGCTCTGAAAGCAGTGCATCCTTGCTAACAAAACTCTTGTTGACATATATACCGTTACCATTCGACCGTCCTCCTTCAATAGCATATGTATCTTTGAAATCTTCAAAAACCACATCACCATCTTCTTCCTCATCCTCATCTCTAACCTTTCCATAAACACTATAATCCTCACCATTTTCATCCGCTTCAGCAACATTAGAGCAAACAGAGATTTCAGCATCATCCTCCTTATCATCCTCCTCCTTATCATCCTCCTCCCCATCATCCTTCTCCCCATCATGATTTTCATCTCCAACCAACTCATTATCACCTTCATCTTCAAAACATTCATCAGCTTCTTCCCTTTTCTCTGAAACCGTTCCCACCTTGCTACGGCTTGATACACAAAGACATACTCTATGAGCTTTGAGTATCTCGAGCAAATTATGAACTTGTCTATCACTTGTAACATGAATGGGAGGGGTGTCTGGAGCCATCATCATTTCTGCTGGTAATGAGTATCTAATCTCCACAGTGACTGTGCTCATGTCCAGGTTATAATCTTCTTGTGCCATTGCAACAAGTTCAGCATGTGTTGAATCTTCATTCAATAAAAACAATCTTGCTCCTTTGAGATCATCAANCTGGTAATGAGTATCTAATCTCCACAGTGACTGTGCTCATGTCCAGGTTATAATCTTCTTGTGCCATTGCAACAAGTTCAGCATGTGTTGAATCTTCATTCAATAAAAACAATCTTGCTCCTTTGAGATCATCAACCACAAAATCCCAACAGCAATCTTTCAACAACCATTCTCCATACACTGCATGTAACTGACGAATCATCTGCAAAAATTCAAAATAAAACACATTAGTAAACATAGAGAATTTCATGAAAGTTTACTAAACATCATCTGGACGACATACCAGTAAGTCGTCCGGACGACTTACCCGTAAGTCGTTCGGACGACTTACTTCTAAGTCGCCCATTGAGGTCATTTTTGCAATTGAAATTTAAATGGGACGACTTACTTCTAAGTCTTGTTTGTTAAAAAAAAAACGCCAGACGACTTATAATTAAGTCGTCTAGGTAAAATGGGCTACTTTTGCATTTGACCGAATTGTGTCAGATATTTGACTTTTTCTGGACGACTTAAAAAAGTCGTCTATAGGAAAGTTAAAATATCAATATTTTATTTTATCCAAACGACTTACGGATAAGTCGTTTCAGGTTAGTTTTGCAATTCAATTATAAAACTTAAATTTTTAACTTCTCCAGACGACTTAATTAGAAGTCGTCTGATCAGAAGACTTATGTTAAAGTCGTCTAGGATAAGCAAGGTTTGACCAGAAAACTCGAAAAAATATTCTGGACGACTTTGATTATCCTGGACGACTTTAACCTAAGTCGTCTGAGCGGTCGACCTCTAATTAAGTCGTCTGGAGAAGTTAAAAGTTTAAGTTTTATTTTTGAATTGCAAAACTAACCTTAGACGACTTATCCGTAAGTCGTTTAGATTTAATAAAATATTGAAATTTTAACTTTCCCAGGGACGACTTAATTTTAAGTTGTCCAGAAAAAGTCAAATATCTTACACAATTCGGTCAAATGTAAAAGTAGACCGTTTTACCTAGACGACTTAATTATAAGTCGTCTGGTGTTTTTTTTTACCAAACAAAGCTGGACGACTTAGAAGTAATTCGTCCGTTTGACCAGAAGACTTATCCGTAAGTCTTCTACATCCAGAAGACTTACGGGTAAGTCTTCTACGCGAAGAGATCTGGAAAAAAATTCAATTTCAAATCTTAAACTAGGTGAGATGACTTCCTTTGCACACAGAGTCTTCTCCAACCACCCAGAACATCGAAGGAAAGTAACCCACCAACAATTGTATGCTTAGATAGCTCTATCAACCATAAAAATTTTGCTATCAAAAGCTTGGGTTTTTGGTATGAATATGGAGACAAAGTGAAGGAGATGTTGTTTTTAGTTCATAACAATTGAGAAAGAGAGTATGAGTATCGATTTTAATTGCATTAAAAGATTCAAACCTTGGTTGTACAAGGTTGTTGGGTTGTACAAGGTTGTTGGGAGTATTCATGGCAATGGCAATGTTGTAAATACTTGAAGATGATGAGGTTGAGAGAGTAAAAAGGCCATTTTCGAAAAAAGTAAAAAAAAAATTAATGGCATTTTCGTAAATAAAATGAAGATGTGGGGTGGATAGGACAAAAACAAGATGAGTTAAAAGAAGAAGTTAGTTTTGTGTTTGACTATGAGTTTTGAGTCAGTTTTGCAAAAACCCCTATTTATAATGCTCTCTCTCATTCCACTAAAAGGAGAACATGAACAACAACAAGCTCTTCTACTTCTCTTCTTTACTTTATATTTGTCAAAGAGAGTACACATAGAAAAATGTTTTCTAGGCTTCTCATTCAAGTGATGTTAATAGAAGAAATATGAAGTTTTATCCTGGGACTCTAATCGTCATACAACCGTCACACTGCGGGCGATTTTTGAGTTAAGGAAAGAGTTTCCTAAATCTCGACTCTGCAAAAAGCTCTTGGCCATTTCGTTTGATTTATGGTATTTCTATATTTATTCAATGTTCTTTATAATCTATCTTACAATTATTCAGATTTTACCCCTTTGTAAATTAAGATCCTACAAGTATTGGTCTCTAGTTTTGTGTCTTGGTGTTGCATTCTTTGTCTGTGATTGGAGAATTTTTTTTCTTCCCATGTTGTTCAATCAGTCTCGATTGATGGGTTCAGTGTTGTCTAGATACCGCTTCTGCTCTTTCTACTCCTAGGGAGTCTTTAAGGCGTACTATTGTGTGTTCAAATAGGCCTTTGCCTCAGACCCCCCCCCCCCCAAATATATAGATTTTTTAGAGTCCCCAATTTTCCATAATTTGGTGTAGCATTGTGGTTTTTGTTAAAACACTATATTATCATCCCAAGTTCGGATCTCCAAAGTTGATTTTATCAGAAAAAAATATTTTGTTTTATTGTCAACTTTCCAAATCAAAAGGAAAATTTCTTTCGTGATATCAAATTTATACATAAAAAAGAATAAAAATCTCAACTACTTTATAAATGATGTATATTCTCAGTTGCATGTCTTATTTTTCACGTATTCCCTACCATCTTTCTTCTTCTTTTTTATATATCTACCATCTCTTCTTAGATTAAGGTAAATGTTTCTTCCCGTATAGATGTTGTCATCAATTTATTTTTGATTTTTTCCAGTGTTTTTGGTTAGGAATCTTGGTTATGAAAATTCAGTAAAAGCTTTTGTTGGAAAACAGAAAAAAGGATTGTGTCGCAGTTTCTTATTATTGTTTTAATTTTTATTTATATTGTTAATTATATGTTATATTTTTATCAAAAAAATAATTGGTTAAAAGGCCATTTTTATATTTGCCTCAAGTCATCTGTATACCTTCACGCGGCATTGGAGTCTTACTACCTAATGATCCTGGTCTTGTATGAGTTCTTGAGCGCACCTAACTATCTTCTTGGGGATTTAGCATTTGTTTTATGGAATAGAATTGGTTTTTATATCATTTATCCTTCGTACTAGTTTCAGTTTGTGGTGATGTCTTAGGTTTGCTGTTGTTATTGTTGTGTGGGCTTATTTGCCAACTAACCATATTTTAAATACAAATTATATAAATGTCACTAATTTTGACACAATGAAGTTTCTAATATTTATGTCATAAAGTGTCCGGTTTTATCCTTTCTCTTTACACGTACCAGATAAAAATGTGGGAGAGAATAAAGTGGCCAATAAAATATAAGGTCAAGAACACCTTAAAACAATTCCAAAAAAAAAAAAGAGAAACTATCCACGTAAATCTTTATTGATTGTATACATAAGCACCAAGTGTCTTATTCCATATCATAGAAGTAGTATAGGATTATAATCCCATCAACAACCCCTAAATACTAAACATATCCCAACCCTAATCCCTAGATACTAAACATTATCCTAATTCCATTCAACTCCTAAATACTAAACCCTAAACTCTAATCACTAAACCCTTACGCAAATGTAAACCCTAAATCCAAATATAAACCCTAAGCCCAAATAGAATAGAACATAATAAATAACATAGTACATATTAGTGAAATTATAAAATATCTATGATTGCCTGGAAAAAGTTAATGCTGACCCCAACCATACTCTTTCACCTTCTAAATACAAAACCTTAAACTCTAATCACTAAACCCATACCCAAATATGAACTCTAGATCTGAGCTGTAGATCTTGTTACCAACACAGCGTATGAGAGGTTTTCGATAGAGGAACATGAGATGCAAACATAGTTCACATAGGAGGAGGAGGAACAACAATGGAGACGCATCGATTACATCATTTTCTATGTACAAGCAAATAGTATAGACCCTCTCAAAATAGTATAGATTTGCATATCCATTCTATTTACATCGTGAGTTAATAAAATTGATCATCAAAGATAAAGTAGTATGGAACTGGAAACAAAATTATAGATAATATTATATAAAATTAAATTTAGGACCTTGTTATAAAGTAATGACACTATTTAATTTTCAGTAAACAAATACATATTATTTGTAGTCCTTGTCCGAATGAAGATATTACAAGCGACCATACAAAATTGCTTAGAAGGAAAAAATACTATTGTTTAACTTTGTTCCATTATAAATTACAAATGTTTTCAAACCTGAAACAAGGTTTAATACACAAGAAACTTACAAATTACAGAGAATGTAATGCACAAATATTACATAGAATATATCGACTCCCATTTTCAACAATTTCCCAAACTGTGAAGCATTCAACATCTCCAAATGATCTTCATCTAATATGGTTTTGATCAGCTCGATCTATCGTAGATTAAAATAGTTATTAACATGTTTCCTACCCGCTGTCTCATATCCTGTTTCAAACAAGGTTATTAGAAGATTTAATTTGTCCATGATAACCTGATAATAAGAAACCCAAAACACAAATTTGTTAGTTAGAATATAGAAAAGAACTGTAAGAAACAAAGTGGACGACTGAGTCGAAATGTTGCTACAATATCTTAGGCAAAGTTTAAACTATTCTATCTTCCCTATATTGTTCCATGCTATGTATTCTCCAATGTCTATTGAAACATACGTTTTCACTGTAAGTAGTAAATGTGTTGATACAATACATACTGTGAACATAGTATGACCCCTAAATATTAAACCCTGCCCAATATATTTAATACTAAAACCCAAGACAAACCCGTAATTGCTAAATCTAAATCCTAATCACTGATCTATAAACTAAAATAAAATTTATATAATATGCTGTAAATTTTTCACCCTAATCACTGATCTTGTTGTTGTATTGTGTTTGTTTTAATAATTTTTTTTCTTAACGAACAAAGTTGATATCGCATGAAACAGCGGCATCGTATCTATCATGTAAGAGCATTTCTAATATTTTTTTTTTGACAACGAACGGCTGATCTATTACTCAAGCTTGAGGTGATCTGGGAATCCAGACCGGAATAGAACAACCAACATACACCAATTCTCGATAAAAGGATCAAGCAGTCTTAGCTAGGATATCAGAAAACCCGTTATGTGTCCTAGGAACATAAAAAAATCTTAAAGTCCAGGAAACAAATCCGCAAAGTCGATAGCTTTTCCAGTTCTGTTGAGAAGCTTGGCCAATCCTATGGGTTCCTGAGCATTGATATCATTTCCTTGCAGTCCGTCCCAAAGCTCTGACATGGCGAATGTTGGAGCATGTTCTTCATTGCCCACCGCAGTGCTTCTAGCTCAAAATGCAAAGCTGACTCCACTCTATCAAAATTACGTATTCTCATCAACTGACTAGCTCCCATATTATCAGTCTAGACCCATCCACATCCACTGAACTGAACTATAGATGTCCAAGAACCATCCACCATACAGATATTCCCCAGACTTATGGTCTGGTTTTCAACATCCACATTTCCTTGAGTTGGTACAGAAGTCTGTACATTAGCTTGGAATCATACTTGACATTCACTCTCTGCATATCGGGCTAACTCCAACGGATCTTTATCAATTCCCTTAAACAATTTATCATTCTGAGCCTTCCAAATATACTAGATAAGCCAAGGATAAGGATCCATGCCTTGATCCGGTTCTCTGATGACGTTTTTCCTCCAGAAGAGATAATCCATGTTTCCGTATGTGCTCTGGAGTGGAAACAGTGTAGGACTAGTAGGCACCGACGATAATGCCCATACTTTCTTAGCAGGTGGACACGGGAAAATGGCATGTGCAATTGATTCTTCGGGTTCTCCACATCGTGGGCAGAAATTGTCACACCTTATATGCATGTAGTTTAAGTACTTGTGACCGCCACATGACCTGTTATTAATTGCCACATAAGATGGCACATCTTTTGGGGAGCCCGCACTTTCCACGCTTGTGCTTGTAGTTTAGTAATACTCGGTTCACTAACTACAGGCACCTCTTCCTACTTTAAGATATTCTGTGCAACCCAATATCCAGATTTAATTGTATATTGTCCATTCCTTGTATAGCTCCAGCAATATGTGTCTCCGCGATGTGTAGAGCTAATCGACATACTCCGTATGAGAGGCATATCTGCCGCATCCACATAGTTTACCAGCCTCGCCGCATCCCAAGTCTTAGTTTCATGATTAATAAGGTCACTTACTCTCATGTTTGGATGTAAAACCGGTACAGATGGGAGTGCCGGTCTCGCTGGTATAGTTGGAATCCACGGATCCTCCCATACTTTCACCTCATAAACCGAGTGAATCTTATGTCTAACACCCAATAATAGTAATTCCCGTGCCGCTGATATACTTTTCCACACATATGATGGAGTACTGACAGTAAGCTGACGCAACGGCGAGCTTAATCGATAATACCGGCCTCTCAATACATGGGCAACCAGAGAATCTGGGTATTGTACCAACCTCCATAGCTGCTTTGCTAGCAATGCCAAGTTAAACTCATGGATCATCCTGAAGCCAATCCCACCTTCCTCTTTAGACAAACATATCTCTAGGGCAATGGCACTAGCTAGGGCCTCTTTTTGGGGGGTTTGTGTGCAATGGCACTAGCTAGGGCATCACATATCTCTAATGGCAGAAGAAAACAAGACATGACATAAGTAGGTAAAGCTAGTAGGCTTGATTTGATCATAACCTCCTTGCCTCCTTTTGACAGCCACCTACCCGTCCATCCGTTAACTCTATTCCTTAACCTATCTTTTAAAAAGGCGAAGAGCTTGCATTTAGATCCACTGATATCCTCTGGGATACCCATGTATGTTCCTATTCCCCCTTCATTTTTAATTCCTAGGGTGTCCTTAATTTCCTGTCTAACATCTTGACCAATCCTCTTACCAAAGAGTAGAGAAGATTTATCAAAGTTGATACATTGACCAGAGGCTTGTCCATATTTCCTGACCACTTTCATTACTTCTTCACATTCACGGGGCTCCGCCTTACAAAAGAACATGCTATCATCAGCAAAGAGAAGGTGAGATACCAAAGGGCACGCACGTGTGATGCGTATTCCCGTTATCTTTCCTTGATTCTCTGCGTGATTTAGAAGGCTAACGAGCGCTTCCGTGCACAGAATAGAAATGAAAGGGGACAGAGGATCCCTCTGTCGTAAACCTCTCTCCGGAACGATGTTCCCTCTCGGCTAACCATTCATAAGGACCTTATACTTCACTGATGTTATGCAGCGCATTATCCACGTTATCCAGATTTCCGAAAAACCCATCTTCCTCATGGTGGCCTCAATGAAGGACCACTCCATTCTATCATACGCCTCGCTCATGTCTGTCTTGATGGCCATCCTCTTGTTACGTCCACTAGGTTTTGTCCTTAAGGCATGAAACATTTCCTGGGCAATCATAATGTTATCAGAGATCTGCCATCCTGCAACAAAGGCTGACTAAGTCTCTGAGATCCTGTCTGGAAGAAATTTATTTAACCTATGGCATAAGACCTTAGAGATTATCTTATAACTAACGTTACATAAACTTATAGGGCGTAGTTGACTCATCTGATTCGGCTTGTCCACTTTCGGAATTAGACATATGTTTGTTTCATTTAAACCAGTGGGAATCGTACCTTCGAACAGGAACTGATTAACCATAAGAGTTAAATCCTCTTTTACGATATCCCAAAATTTCTGGGTAAAAAATAGCAGTCATTCCATCAGGCCCTGGAGCTTTCTCTGGGTGCATTGCAAAGAGCGCCACCTTGATCTCCCATTCCGTTATCGGTGCCGTGAGATTTTCATTTTCAGCAGATGTGATGGTTGTGGAGACCTCAGATAATGCATCCTCTATTTCCTCAGGATTTGAAGATTGGAAGATATGTCTAAAATAATTTGTAGCAATGGCTACAAGTCCCTCCTCATCCTGAACCACATTTCCATCCTCATCCAGAAGCTGAGTAATTATGTTCCTTGCCCTTCTCTGCTTCGTGAGAGCATGAAAAAAATTGGTATTCTTGTCTCCTTCTCGTAACCAAAACACTCGACACTTTTGTTTCCAGAACATCACTTCTGCCTTAAGAGCATCAGATAATTCCTTTAAAGCCGCTGCAATCTCCTCAGTGGTTGCATCGTCATTAGAAGATAATTGATCAACTTTTTCCTTTAACTCCTCCACACTTCTTTCAGAATTTAAATTGTGTTGTCGCTTCCATTCACTCAAAGCACGCCTGCAGCTTGCAATGTGTTCCATAATACTAGCTTCTGGTGGAAGATCCGGTGATTTCCATCCCTCCAGGATTACTTGTCTGAGTTCCTCATTATCCAACCAACGCTTATCAAATTTAAAATTTTTCGATCTTCGTGGTCGCTTTCTAAGAATGTCCGCTAGGATCGGACGATGATCCGAACCCCACATCCTCATGTACTGAACCTTCGTATGAGGGAATTTTCCATGCCAGTCCTCGTCTCCAACAGCTCTGTCAAGGCGACATCTGACCGTGACTCTCCCTGCTTTTTTTCCAGCCCATGAAAGCATATTCCCTGTGAAGGGAAATTCGAGCATCCCACAGTCACTCAGCATTTGTCTGAAAGGCAAAAAAGAACTGTCTGGTCGTTCTCGACCTCCTACTTTCTCTTCCTGACACGTAATCTCATTGAAATCACCAATCATGAACCATGGTCCATCTCTTGTTGTTGAGAACCGCATAAGGCGTTCCCAAACCAGATCTCTACGTTCTAATACAGGGTCTCCATAAACAAACGTCATATAAACTTTTATTCCATCAATGATTGCCTCAATGTCAATCATTCTGTTTTTTGAAAATAAAACCTTAACATGAAAATCATCCATAAAAAACAAAGCTAAACCTCCGCTGAGTCCAAGTGGCTCAACAGTAAACAAACGATCAAATCCTAAGTCAGCATGAATGTCTTGCAACAGCAGCCTCCTATTCTTCGTCTCAGAAAGAAACACTAGTCCTGGACGATGCTTCTGACACATCTCCGTAAGGCGTCGAACTGTAAGGTCGTTTCCAATCCCTCGACAGTTCCAACTGAGTGTCCTCATGGATGATTGTGGGATGGGTTTTTGGACCCCACCGAACCGCTCGCTTTATTTGACTTTGATCGATCCACTCTAGCATTATGGCTGGAGTGTTTTGGTTTACCTCTCTCTCTCCTATTTTCTTTTGAGAAGTAGGATGAAAAGATCTCAACCGTGGAGATCCCCGACGGAGGACCTCCTTCTTCTTTGGAGTGCGCCTGTTGCCACTCCTCATCCCTTTTGAGCTTCTTGTGCCTCTTTCACTCCCTTTTTCGCGTGGAATGTTATCTCCTGCCACAGATGCATCCAAATCCATGAGCTCCTCATCAAATAAATCGTCCTCCTCAGCCATTCTCTCCTCTTCATTGTTTACTAATGGTCCCATGTCGGTCAAAGCTTCTATTATTCCTGCATCATCTCCTTCATTTTCATTAGTGTACGTCAAAGAACGAATCGCACTTCTTGGCCGAAGCGTCACATTATCCTGCATATTTGGAGAAGTAATCGTGCTAGCTAGCCGTAATTTCCGTGGGTTCTCAGAGTTCTTTGTGGGATCAACATCCAACACTTCCACATCAACATTTTGGCCACGGGAGTTGCTTGACCTTACACCATCATCCATCGCGTCCTCTTGGACATAGGAACCA